AACTAAATTAACGTTAACGTTTTAAACTTAACTAACTAAGAAATAATACGTATACTATTATACGTAGTAGGTTAGTATATTATATATTATTATAGTTAGTATATATATATATATATATATAGAGAGAGAGAGAGAGAGAGAGAGAGAGGGGGGAGGGAGGGACCGGGAGGCGAGAGGGAAGAAGAGGGTGGATCGGAGTCAGAGAGATGAAAATAGCAACACTTCTTCAGACACTTAGCGAGGCAAGCCAAGCTGCGCTTCGGTGGCGACAGATTCAACCCGTCATCGACGGCAGCTGCTGAACCTGACGTCGCAAACGATTCCGTGTACAATCTACACGCACACGCGCGCAAGCTGCGAGCTAACGTGTTATTTGTCGTGCTTTTAGTTGGTCAGTTTGTTAGTTTGTCGTTTACTTGCTCGTGCTTTCCGCAGTGCATCCAGGACGTGAAGCACTGGTTCACTGCATTGCCGCATTTGAACAGAGAAAAATCACCTGTCTCGTGACAGTCACCGATGTACGGGCGGGTTACCGGGAGGAAAGATCAATAGTCAATCATCGATACTGCGTCGATCGTTCTTCGCGCTCTATTCGTTTGCATCCGTCACTGTCGCTCGGGGCGAGGTGGCGAGGGGAAGGATATATACACTTCGGCGGCGGTTTCCTTGTGTTTTTCTTGCTCGAAAAATGCAAAGCAGAGGCCGCGCCTGATCTTGCCGCCAGCGGCTATCGCGTCAACGCGTTTCATTTTGCGACCGTAACGTCGTGTTGCCGTGTCCTTGACGCGTCGCACCCACTGCTGTCGCGGGGTGGCCATCTGCCCCCGGCGAGGGGTGTGTAGGGTGAGCACACGCAGCGCGGCCGCGGTGTCGTCCAACATCAGCCAATCACGACGAGGCTCGCGGTCCGACCGTCAGCGTCAACTAATAACATTCGCAGACCGTCTGGCGTGTGTCGATTACCGGCGCGGATATACATGTGAAGCGAACCGCCTCGTGCCTTGAGGTGGTGTACAACGGTAGAGGGTGTCCATAGGTAGTAGGCCTGAATAAAAGCATCGAACACAAATTTATTAAAAATACTACTAAGAGAGTTTCGGCGCATACACGACATACACTTTCTTAATGCTAAATCGCTGCAGATTCAAAGAGAAATCTTTACTCAAAACATTTGCCAGATTGTTTTCGAGAATTTCCAGCATGTAGTCGAATCCCGTTTTAACCAAAAAAATGGCCCACCGGTCACCATGACTACACCACTTAACGGAATGACACAATTACACGACCAATCTCACTTCCAATGCCTTCTAGGTGTCCACGATGCATCCACCTTGCGTGCATAATGCAAATTAGTGCACTCTAGTTCAGAATTTTACCGTAAAATTTTTCAAAAGAAAGCTTTTTTCCAAAGAACCGCCTCGGTCATTGAGCGCGCAGGTAACGGTGGCGACGTCACGTAAAGGGACAGCCGGGGCGATTAGGCGAGGACAGGGGACCGCATTTCTGACTCCTGCGCAACTGTTCGCACGGCCTTGTTTCCCTCTTCTGCGCAGGTTCGTGATCATCGTGAAACGGGGCAAAATCGCACGTGTGAGCCTACGGGCTGCGCCGATAGGAAATCATCGAAGGGATCGACATCGAATGTGTGATTTTGCTTCATTAATCGATTATTGGTTTGTTGTCGATTGATTCGGCGTAATCAAGTGCGTTCGGTCTAGCGCGGAATCAGCATATGATCAATGTCGTGTTCAGCAAACTGGCTCTGGTTGCCGATTGGATAACATATAGCTATTATCAGGGGGTTGATAATGACAAATTGTTTTGTCATTATTAACCCCTGCTATTATATATATGACTTCACGTACTCATAGTGAATTCATAGTAAACTATACGTTACTAAGGTACCGTTTGAAGACTAGGCCGACTAACATTTCACCCCCCCCCCACACACACACCCACAAAGACAGTTTGCTACATTTACTAACATCATATTTACACGCGCGAGCGCACACGCACACGCAGGGGCTCACGCACACGCACAAACACAAAACGGTTGGTCGCGCATCGCAGTAGCAGTAAATTTCCAGTCGCGTTAGCTTGAAAGTTGAAGTGACCTTGAACGAAAACGAGGTAGCTCTTCTCATTGTAAATCACTGCTTGCGTGTGGCATTAAGATCCGAGTAGGCGACAGGGTGCTGCGATTGTGACAACTGTGGTGACGCCTCCGGGTTCACATCTGTCAAGCAGCGAGCACCGTTAGCCGAAAATACGGCCTGGATAGGCGGCTATAACATTTAGCCTCGTAACGGGAAGGAGGGCGTAGCAAGCACGTGGAAAGCACGTGGTGGGATGAGGGAAGACTGCATAGCAGCATATTATCAAGATCTAATTATACCTATATAGCTATAATAGGTATTATTAGCTCTTGTTATTATTGATAGTAGTATCAACCGAATTTTGTGTTCTATTGGTAGAGAAATCTATCGATGATTTGCTCGTAGACGAACAGAATGTAAATAGTGTACTATAGAACTATATGACATAGGGAGTGCAGGGCATAGATTTTAACAGGGGAGGGGGAGGGAAGCTATATGAGAGGTATAGAGCAATGAGGGTAGCGCATGAATTGGAAAGGAGATGGGGTATGACGCTATAGGAGAGGTAACAGGTGGAAGAATTATCCAATTATTATGGCAGGGAAAGTATGGAGAGTGTATGTATGATATTATCAGGAGTAGATAATAGGGAATTATTATCTACTCCTGATATTATCTACTCCTGATATTATCTACTCCTATTATCTACTCCTGATATTATCTGGCTGAGGTGTTTGCTGCTGTTATCCCAGTAAGAGTCATACGAACTGCTGCCGCATTACGGCGTTACAACTTACAGACGCGGATTGATGCATTGCGGAACCGTATCATCATATTACAGCGCCGTATATCATTGTCTATTGTTATATATTATTCTATATGTATAATATTATATGTATTATATGTATTATATCAGGAGTCTATCAAAAGGAGTAAGGCACGCTAAAACCGGCAAAATTCAACATTTAGTAGCCTTAGTCTACCTATGATTTATTGTGTTTACCTCGATAAACTTGAGCTCAAGTATTGCCTTAATCATTAAACTTTATCCGTGTCTAATCGTTGGTCTCATAAAAATGACAAATCCGGAGATATCGGTTCAAACGTACAATGTGGTTTTATCAATTTACATCGCTTTGTGATGATCAGTGAACCGAAACATAAGGGCAATGCTTTTGAAGGCCCTCTATCGTTTAGCAATGCAAACATAGCAAAGAACTAGCGAGGTTTGCTAGGGATTTCGGAAAGTTAAACACGACGTGGTGTTATTGATGCTATTTACATTAGAAATAAAAAATTTCACATGTTTAGTATTTTTATCCATTTTATTTGTTCTTAACAATATTGTTCATAACATGTAATTAATGTCATTCGACATGGCCTATAATAACAACAAGGCGTGTTTAACTTTCCGAAATCCCTAGCAAACCTCGCTAGTTCTTTGCTATGTTTGCATTGCTAAACGATAGAGGGCTTTCAAAAGCATTGCCCTTATGTTTCGGTTCACTGATCATCACAAAGCGATGTAAATTGATAAAACCACATTGTACGTTTGAACCGATATCTCCGGATTTGTCATTTTTATGAGACCAACGATTAGACACGGATAAAGTTTAATGATTAAGGCAATACTTGAGCTCAAGTTTATCGAGGTAAACACAATAAATCATAGGTAGACTAAGGCTACTAAATGTTGAATTTTGCCGGTTTTAGCGTGCCTTACTCCTTTTGATAGACTCCTGATAATATTATATGTATATAATATGTATATTATTGTATGTTGTCAAGTCACGTCAAACCATGAGCCGCAGTATCATTCCACTAGAAATCATGGCTTTCGCTGCTATTAAGTGCCCGGTGATGCGCTGATGCACGCGCGCTGCTGCATTTTGGTGGCGACCAGACGCGTGTATGCGCTTTGCGGGGATCGAGGCTGCTAGGGAGGAAAGGAAAATTGTTCACGAGGTGGCGCGCTGGGCGCCACGTCCGCTCTCACGTCGCGGTAGAGTAGCAAAAGTCGAGGCGGTTACCATGGCGACCACAACGTGGCGTCAGCGCTTTCCCCATACGTCTCGAGCTGGGTTCACACTCGTCACCCCATAAAAACATTCTCCATACTCCGGCGGAGTATGTAACGAGGAAAAAGTTAAAGGAGTAGCGCACACTATTTATATTTACAGAGTTCGAAGAAATCGTTTGACATTTTGACAAAACAAATCGATAGTTGGAACGTTAGCGTGTCTCGTCTACCGGCTGCTTGGCTGGGGTGGAACTCCGCATGACAGGGAGCAGCAGCAGTAGCGCGTTCATTGGCCGCTGCCTCGGGTGATACTCCATTAGGAGTGATCCCAACTTTAATGTCATTAATGGTCATAATAACATATATGGTCATGGTCATATATTAGTTTGTGGTTTAATGTCATTTAGGTTAGGGTTAGGGTTAGGGTTAGGGTTAGGATTATCAATCATTAATCATTAATCATTAATCATTAATGATATCAAAGTTGGGAACACTCCTAATGGAGCGTTAGCCGCTGCCTCGTTCACTGCTGCGAGCGATGACGCGACGCCTCAGTAGCAGACGATGATTTCTCACTCTTCGTGCGTCACAAACCATTGTTTGTGTGAGTCCTGCTAGCTCGCTTTCGCCCTCCTCTCTCTCTCTCTCTCTCTCTCCTTCCCCTCCTCCTCTTTCCTCTCTCCTCTCTCCCTACTTGCCATTCGCTCACAGCGGCTCACTTTCTCTCCTCTGCCTCCCTCTCCTCCCTTCTACTCCCTCTGTCTCTCTCTCTCTCTCTCTCACGAATTTATATGCGCGTAGTTGCTGCGACCGCGGTCAAAGGTGGCGTAACGCGGCATTCTCTCGCGAGCAACCACGAGCGTAACTTCCTGCCCTTTGTGTCGACGATCAGGCTAGATAGCTGGTGGCTGCCCGCGCGCGATTTGCGTTGTTCGGCGGTGTTTGTTTGTCGTGAGGTTCGCCACATCCTGTCGTCGACCTCAGCGTGGCAGGCTACGCACACGCACGCGCGCGCACGCACGCACGCAAGTACGCACCGCTGCGCGAACATTGATACATACATGAGTACGTAACACAGATTATATTTGAATTATTTGATCAACTTAGATTATCTTCACAGGTAGGCAGGCATATAGATAAATGTATTATGTTATATAGTATAGACGACATTGTAAGAGTATGACAGGTGGTGGATCAACTCCCCCTACCCAGTACCAGCCCGCCCGTGTGGTGCTGGATGAATTCCCTTGGTGGGGTGGGGGGTGGGGGGGGGTCCAGGCAGCGAGCAGAGCTGTAGAGTGGGGCCGGGGGCCGTTGTCCGAAACATCATAAATAGAATATGGCTATCGTGCGTTCAATATGTCATAACCGTTGTACAACACTTTGTTTCAAAATGTATGCCATATTAGAAATGCGATGTAACTATTTATGATCTCAACGGGTTACAATGTCACAATGTTATCAGGAGTGCATAATATATATATATATATATATATATATATATATATGTATTATTCATTCCTGGTGTTATGATAACAACATGTCCTTGGACGTTGCTCGACATTGTCAGGCTCATTGCTGTGGTCAATCGCACTACTACTACTAGTTAATACTACTAGTTAATACTACTAGTTAATACTTCTAGTTAATACTACTAGTTATGGTTTGGATTAGGGTTATGGTCGCGGGTACCCAATCGTCGCTCCTGTGACGAACCCAACTTTTACGACTGTGTTCCGTGAGCACTACTGAGTCAAATTTCCGCGTAGCCACTTGCCGTGCTATAGTAAAATCGATCTCTTGTGATTGCCTTGTCGAACTCGGCGGTGAGGCAGCAGGACATCAAACAACGACTGCTGCTCGGATATTCCCGCGAGTGCCTGAAATTTTTTAGTGAAAAGCCAGCTAGCGGCTCAGTACATGTGTGTGTGTATGTGTATGTGTGTGCGTGCGTGCGTGCGTGTCTGAGTTCGTGCGCGCGTACTTAACGATCTACGATAATCTTGGCATGTGGATGAAGGATTGTGTGAGCATACGTCGTGTTAGCAGCGTTAGCATAGCCATCAGCCTGCCATTATTCTGCCGTCGTTGTGCATGCTGCGTAACTCACCTGCTGCCGCGGCGAGACATGTATGCGTAATTCCTGTTTTATATGCGTCGTGGTGCACTCATTAGGGTCCTGCATCCTGTGCCTGCCCGCAGCGTGAATGCATGCCATTTCTGAATGGTTTTAGAACGGTGCGAGCACTTACGTGTGATGTTAGGAGTGCAAGAAGTCGATATTCGTAATAATACTAATAATAATAATAATAATGCTCACTAGGAGGAGGAGGGGAGGGGAGAGGAAGAAGAGTAGAAGGAGGGTGATGAGGCGACGCGGTAGAAGGAAGGAAGGGCGTACTAGTGTAAAGCAGCTACGCCAACAGTAAATTTATGATTTTGATATGTGTTTCTATTGTGTAATGCAGACATTTTTCAGCATTTTGCAAATATCTATAATGCAGGTGATATCTTGAAATTTCGGTGGAAATCTGTTTAGAATTCGCACTCCTTTTCGTTAGCGATGTTGTTTACATGTTTATTTGTGTTTATTTGTATGCAGGATACGGGAGATGAAGTTGATTTAGATTTGGACATCATGCTTGACATTGAAGATGAGTCAGAAAGACGCCATTTTCTAGAGGTAATCCATTGATCTTCAGGGCATTAATCTGATAATCTACATTGCAATAATCAAGTAAACTATGCGCCATATGTCCGTGGTGTGTAGCGATACTGGTTAACCTCGCGCAACCAGAGAAATTGCATTTAACAGCGTGAACATGAAAGAATATCTTTTTATTTTTAGTTTAAAATGAGAAAAAATTTGTTTGATCTCCTCCGGTACGCTTTAAACTATAATTTATGGCACGTTGTTTTGATTTCGTTGCGCGTAATAAACGCCCGAGTTTGTTTAACGACTTCCTCGGTTAAGAAAACAATCGTTCTTATGCACAACGGCAACAGAATCGTTTCCGTCTCTCCGTCAAAGCCTGCAGTGAAGCGGTTGCCATGCCAACTGCTGTTTCCACGGTTCTCGTTTTCTCTGCTTCAGAAACTTCTGGTCGATGCGAAGCGGCCGCGCCAGGATGTAAACGTGAGTGATGGCAAGCTGTGGTTGAACTGTATTGCCATCGTATGATGGCAAGCTGTGGTTTAACTGTATTGCCATCGTACGATGGCAAGTTGTGGTTGAACTGTATTGCCGTCGTATGATGGCAAACTGTGGTTGAACTGTATTGTCATCGTGCAATGGCAAGCTATGGTTGAACTGTATTCGTATGATGGCAAGCTGTGGTTTAACTATATTGCCATCGTACGATGGCTGCAAGCTGTGGTTTAACTGTATTGCCATCGTATGATGGCAAGCTGTGGTTTAACTGTATTGCCATCGTGTAATGGCAAGCCATGGTTTAACTGCACTGTCATCGTATGATGGCAAGCCATGGTTTAACTGTCATCGTATCAGGGGTGTCATAATATAGATATATTTTGACACTCCTTATCGTATGGTGGCAAGCTGTGGTTTAACTGTATGGTCATCGTAGAACGATACAGCTGTGTGTGTGTGTGTGTGTGTGTGTGTGTGTGTGTGTGTGTGTGTGTGTGTGTGTGTGTGTGTGTCTCTCTCTCTCTCTCTCTCTCTCTCTCTCTCTCTCCTCTCTCTCTTCTCTTCTCTCTCTCTCTCTCTCTCTCTCTCTCTCTCTCTCTCTCTCTCTCTCTCTTTCTCTCACTCTCCTCTGTGTGTGTGCGTGCGACCCAGTGCGTGCGTGCGTGTGTGTGTGTGCGTGCGTGCGTGCGTGTGTGTGTGTGCGTGCGTGCGTGCGTGCGCCGTCTGTCTGTCTGTCTGTCTGTTTGTCTGTCTGTCTGCTTGTTTGTTGTCTGTCTGTCTGTCTGTCTGTTTGTCTGTCTATCTGTCTGTCTGTCTGTCTGTTTGTTGTCTGTCTGTCTGCTTGTTTGTTGTCTGTCTGTCTGTCTGTCTGTCTGTCTGTCTGTCTGTCTGTCTGTCTGTCTGTCTATCTGTCTATCTGTCTACATGCACGTGTGCGTGGGTGTGTGCGCGTGCGTGTACGTGCGTGCGTGCGTGCGTGCGTGTCATTTGACGACTGTGCTTTGTTTGCATTTACAAGTTGTAGCTACTTAAGGTGTACGGTGGATGCATGGGACATGCAATACATCAACAATGCGTACATCAGTGCAAATAGATAGTACAACGATGCAAATAGATAGTGCATACATCAAAGCAAATATGCAACACATAGAACATGGCAGTGATGTAAATAAACATTGCGTCTAACGTGGTTTGGGGTTACAAAGTGGCAGCAAATCCCACGTTCCGGCCCAAACCTGAAACGCGGGTATGTGTTGGCTCATTGCAGACGAGAAATACTTAATAAGTGACCTTCCATTGGGCGAAGCGCCTCAGACACACTAGGCGATTTTTTCTGACGACTAGTTGCGCGACTTTATCGCCCGATAATTCTAGTGAGACTTGATCGCGCGAGTCGAGTGGACACATTACGCGATTTTTGACGGCGAGTTCCTACCGCCACCTACCGCGCACTACCGCCACCACGTAAACGAACAAAATGGCAGCGTCCAGTAAAAAGAAAAAAAATCAGAAAAAACGGAAAATTGGAAAAAAACACGGCAGTTTATGTTACTATAAGAAGAATAAGGAGGCGAAGAAAACGGTGGGAGAACCACTGGGTTAAACCCTGGGTTTGTCATCGACAGACGTATGGGGTGTTCAACAATTTAATAAATGAATTGAAGACCGAGGACCCCGGTCGTTACCACTCATACATGACCTTCACGGCCTCCTTCGTTCTGAGTACAGGGACACATCGTATAAGAGGAGATTCACCTCCCACAAAGTGATCAATTCTGCCACTTTGTCGGAGGACCACGTTGACTCCATGGAAGCTGCCATTTTGTCTAATTACGTCAGTATCATTGAACAACACTGATTGGCTGGTGAATTTTTCAGTCGGGTTAAAGTGATCGACGAAGTGGACACACTAGGCGACTGAAGTGCGATTGATTAAAAAGTCGCGCGATAATATCAAAACGTTCTGATCGATGCGATCGAATCGGGCGACTAAGTCGCCGCTGTAAATCGTCGGTCGCGGTGATGGACACACTAGGCGATTTTGCCAAGCGACTTTACTCGCTCGATTAGATCGCATTAAAAATCGCCTAGTGTGTCCAGGGCTTTACGACACCCGGTAAACCCGTTCTCAGCGTAAATCTCAATCCAGGAATATGCCAACGGGATATCATAGTGGGCAGAAGCCACCTGGGAGAGGCGTACGGGAGAGTACTGTAAGCTCTGGCAGCCCCGCGTGTTTTAGTGCTTCATGTGTCTCTCTGTGGCTTCTACTATGAGCAGTCTCTAAACTTGGCAAACACTAGGTAATATAGTGGGTTAGAAATGCTCACCCCTCGTGTTTGCAAAGCGTGACTGTTTGTTCACTTGCTTTCCGGTATTGATGATTTTTGGATGGGGGGGTGCATGCCCCCCCCCCCCTTCCCGTGATCTGCCAGTGCAATCAGCCAGCAGCGGCGCAGGCGGAAACGGTGAAGAAATCGAAGAATATTCGATTGGCGGTATTCGCTTTCGTCGCGAGTGAATAACCCCTTTTCACCGCGCGCAATTCACGCAGCCGTTCCGAAACTCATCGTGGTGACTTGCGAGTAGGCAAGGCAGGCATACACGTGTTACGACGCTTACACCTGTGCACGTGTTCATATAGGTGATGCGATCGCCGAACCACCGCGCACACGTGGGTGACGTGCTCATTCTCATTTTACTTTAAACTGGTGGGCTCGCTTGCCTGCTCAGAAATACGGCTGTGTAAAACCTGAATGTTCATAGAAAGGGCTGGAGGTGATGAAGTCTGCAGTTAACACCGGAGAGGGCACTAACACCATGCTGTAATCAAGGTTGTAACACGCACATAGCCAGACATTGCGTTATCTCCGACGCGTTTCTTTTCTATTTCTTCAGAAATTCATCGTCGACTGCCTAGCGAAGGCAAAGACGTTGTAGGGCTTCACACGAGAGGGCGCCAGCGCTGCGGCTGGTCGACAGCGAGTGCAATCCGGATTACATACTCACAAAGAATTGCAGTGTCAGACGGTGGGATATTTCAGCAGGCACAGTCGCGTGTGTGTTATCAGTGGGAGTTATAGTGCAAACCTGTCTATCATAATATTGATCTACGTGAGTGCGTTTGCTGTGTCTATAAGCTCCTGTTATAAGTGTACACACGCGCGCGCGCCGGTAGAGGAGTCCCTGTCCATCCTAGCCGCTCGGGACAACCCTCGAGATCTCAATCAACACCAAAAAGTTATGATAGTCAGCCTCGCCCATCATAGATGGGTTCTGTTTCTATGTACGTGGTTTTCAGTTGGACCTTCTAGACATAATACCGTGGCCAGTGTCATCCGGTCAGGTTCCAAAGCAGAAATTCGCATTCAGTTTACTGTCGTGTCGTGTTTGTTTTTCAAATAGCAACGATACATTCAATAAGAGAATGATGCGATCTTGCGTATATACCTCGTATATCATAGTTCTAGGGCTGAGTAAAGTTCCAAAAACCCTTCATAGCCTTAACTCTTTCTGAAGAACTCTGTCGCAGTTTTGTAAATGACAAATTAGATGCGTAGGTATCGTGGCTGTATTGTTTATAAGGCTTTACCAAGCCCTAAAGCACGTATCGACAGGGTATTGCAAATGACGTAGTATTTTATATATTGTTGGTTTACCGTTCTACCTTTAGTTTACTATGCATGGAAAACGAAAAAAAATTGTGACAACATTTCCGTCGAAAGTTGAAAAACGCGAAAACTCGATGTTGAAGCCCTCTCGATTCGTGAACTTCACGAAGTGACTGCAACGTCTGAAGGTTGTGAGCGCATCGGTTGTCGCGATTCTTACGTACACGTGCAGCGTGTAAAGAATGTTCCCTATTTATATTCAAAACGCGAGGTGGCAGCGGTAAGGGCGTGCTATCGGCGGGAGATCTATCCTCGGTGTCGCAGTCGTGTGAGTGGCAGCGGTAAGGGCGTGCTATCGGCGAGAGATCTATCCTCGGTGTCGCAGTCGTGTCAGTGGCAGCGGTAAGGGCGTGCTATCGGCGAGAGATCTATCCTCGGTGTCGCAGTCGTGTCAGTGGCAGCGGTAAGGGCGTGCTATCGGCGAGAGATCTATCCTCGGTGTCGCAGTCGTGTCAGTGGCAGCTTCCTTCGAGTCGCGCACGACGTCGGAACGCGAGGTGGAGGAATTGAGAGGTGCTGGGGAGCTGCCAGTTAAGAGACAGTAGCGATGTGTTGTCGGGAAGCAGTAGCCACTGGCGCCCACAGGTCTTAAGAAAGTAGAAGCACAGAAGGATAAAATCCTCAATGATAATAAAAAGCAAGCGCCGTAGGCGCGTTGCATGCATCTGGGGGCATGCCCCCCTGAAAATTTTTGAATTGTAGACGTCTGGAGAAGCAATCTGGTGAGTCTTGCGAGAGAGATTTATGATAAAAATGTAGGGAAAATTTTTTTTAACTTAAAATTTACAGTGCTTCTATCTGCGGGCGCCACTGGCAGTAGCAACGTGGTAAGTAATGTAGCAGCGTAAACCGCCCCACCCGCTCGTTGTTACCGCACGTATCGCTCGTCTTACGTGCGAGAAACCAAGATGGCGACCGGATCCGAGACGGGATGCGTTTGCCGCGTGGTCGTTACGCCCATGCTAGATCTCGTGAGGCACGCGAAGTGAATCTCGTGAAGTCTTTGCGCCGAATGTAGTGGTAGAACTAGGGAAATCCCTTTCACTTTCAAAAGTCTTATACTACCTTACGCGTATTCGTAGACTGTGCTCCCTCCCCTTCGTTCGTGTTCATTCTTTGTTGCTGCATGACTGGAAACGGGGTGAAACGCCAACTGTTACTTGCTTCACGTTACAGACCGTGGTTTTTTTAAATTATGCAATAGTGTGCTGACTCGTGAGTGTTATCGTGAGCCTACGTGTACCGAATATTCAATATACATAGGTTAATAGTACGAGTAGGTGCCGTCCGATGGCGCCACATGCACGTGTTCTGTAAATAACCTATCACAATGTGACGTTGTTTGTCTGTCAGTGTGTATGTGTGCTGGCCTGTCTGCTAGTTGGATAGATTACCTCCTAGTTGGCGTAATAGATAGATGCACGCGCACCTAGATACACCGCGGTGGCCGCCGTCAACGTGCAAGTGAATGTATCCAGCGAGACATCATCGAATCATCAGCGATTGTTTCCCCCGATCTTCCTGTCGTTTCCTGAGGCTCATTGACAGAAACATTATAAACACTTCACGGACAGACGTTATGACATTTTTGAACGGACGTTGTCATAACTATTATTATGTTTCTAACAACGGTCTCAGAACAGTTACTGAAATGCTATTACAAAAGCGTATATTGAAAATCTTAAGTCTTAAATATCAGTGTTTCGTACTGTGTGTGTAAAAATAATCGGAATTATTTAAACTTGCAACAAAATTCATTACCAGAATGCTTAAGCCAAGCTTGTAGGAAAGCCACCGTGCTTCCATGTAGTGGTCGAGTTGGTTGTTAGTTCGTTGTTTCCGGAATGGACATCTGATGCGATGAACCTACATAATACGTTTTTATGTGGTTTTTTTTTAAAGTTTTGTGTTGCAAATATATTTACAGGTATATGTAGAGAAAAGGTTTAATTCCATCTCGGTGTAGCAGCTGCGATAGAACGGCAATAATCTCGTAAGGTTAACGCGTTGGCAGTTTTTCGAGTACTGAATAATTGACAAAAATCTCGAATTGAGATTAATTGGCCGGTATGCTAATTGTGAAGGAAATCCAGTGTGCGTGTTTTAAATGCATTTTTAGTCAAATTCGCTGATCGTGTGTATTAAGTGTGTTTACAAGGTGATCAGTAAATCGAGATGAAATATAACCGGAGGATCTGTATTTTTTTCGCATGCTCATGTGTCATCAACGAAGCGGCTAACAGTAATACGAGTGAGTTTGTATGCAACTCTTTATTTTGATTTAGTTCCATTGCAGTAGCATGAATCTACTTACTTAAGACAAGTTCAACTTATTACAAAGAATCAATAAATTAATCAAACGTATTTTCAATATTTTGTGCGGAAGCGTTAACTTGAAGGAACGCAATTTGTGCGGAAATGTGCTCTCCCGCACGCTCGATGGCGCCACTATACGGCATGCATTAGGAAATACCGTTTACATTGTAAATTAAATCTAAATTATATGAATTTCGTGTGAATACCGCAAGATTGTATACGGTCTTTGATAAGAAAGGTCAGATATAATAAATATATATAGCGATACTAGATTATACGCTCTTTACATCATTCTACGTTCTCGGCAATACCCTACAGCTATAAGTGTCAACGTTAAAAAATACGAACAAATGTCTCCTTGGAACAATAAACGCAATAACAGTTCACAATACTAATTTTACTAGTCTCGGTATACAAAATATACATCAAAATGGCAAATCGTACGCAGTGAACTAGCCTTACTATATACATTACAACAACATTTACAAGAAGGTAGCAATTCGTATTTCATTACACAGAAGCGGTTTTCTAGTGAACAAATGTGATTCTAGAACCTAATAATAAGAATAATAATAATAGTAATTATTATTATTATTATTAATAGTGGCGGCGGCGGCGGCGGCGGCGGCCTTGGTGGTAGTATGGTAGTGGTAGTAGTAAGCACTTACGATATCACAATTATTTTTCATGACCCGTTATTTTTTACGAACATTATAAATAGCACGAGTCTGCTCGTTGTTAAGCAGGCTCCTCACTCGGCGTCACTAGTCACTGTAGTCATGCGCTCACTAGTCGTTGGTTTTCCAGTTCCGTCTTCGCTCTCACTATGCTGTGATGTCTCCGCTTCTGGTGCGTTTGTTTTCTCGTGCCGTGTTTTCTTGTGCATGCCTGAAACACCAGCACAATTTCAGTTATTACCGGTCTACGTCATTCTCTCTCTCTTTCTCTCTCTCTCTCTCTCTCTCTCTCTCTCTCTCTCTCTCTCTCTCTCTCTCTCTCTCTCTCTCTCTCTCCTCTCTCATCTCGCTTTCTCTCTCCTCTCTCTCTCTCTCTCTCTCTCTCTCTCTCTCTCTCTCTCTCTCTCTCTCTCTCTCTCGCTCTTTCTCTCTCTCTCTGTCTGTCTCTTTTCTGGCTCCCTCTCACTGTGTGTGCGCGTGCATACGCGGGTGCATGTGTCATGACACAGTAAGTAAGCACGGGCGCGCACACGCGTTCCTATTTCCTACCCCAATCTCTTGCTTGCTCTCTGTGCCTGCTTCACTCCCCTCCCATCTTTCCCTCCCCTCTGCGGGCTGCCGCGCACGTTAGTGGTCGGTTCATTCTGTTTCATCTCATTTTATTTCACTTCATGTATTTCTGTTTGCTGTTTTCATAACTGGAAGCCTTCAAGCTGTCGGCAGTTGATTATCTTACCGAGTAGCCACGGAGCGCACGCATCCTTTTCTTCGTTCTCAGCATTTTGCTTGATTGACTCCGGTAGAGGGAGCGAGTGTCGCACCATCGCTCCGTACAGACCGTATTCAGCCATGACCGTACTCTTTCCCCACGTCTTCTCTGTCTTTCTCCACTTCGCGCGTCTGTTCTGGAACCACACCTGTAACACAAAGTATAACGTAATTGTAATCGCGTATAATGCACAATTCTGTTCAACAATTCATCATCTTTAATAAATTTAATGAGAACTGATTATCAAAGTAAGCGTGTATGTAACGTATCCGGTCCGCATGAAAATGGATATTATATCAACCGCATGTCCTATAGTGAAGCATATATGACACCAAACATAGGGCTTGGTGCGTAGGTTGCGACAGTAGGTCTGCCAATTTGAACCATCACGAACATGTCACTTATGCACATGTCGCACATGTCGCACATGTCACAACATGTCGTACATGTCACAACATTTTGATAGGTGTGCATCGCTATGCTCAGATATAACTCGAAAGACATTACATTGCTTGACATAGCTTACAGTGATAAAGGCAGGAGTCTATCAATAGATTATTGATAGACTATAGTCTATTGATAGACTCCTGATAAAAGTATAGAGCCACGCAATAACATGACTACTCTGCGCGTACGTTGCTATAACGACTATACACGTGACGTACCTGGATGCGATCCTCGCCGATGCTTGTCGCCTGTGATAGAGCCTCGCGCGCGGCTACATCCGGGTAGTGCGCCTCTTCAAACGCCTCCTCAAGGCTTTTCACCTGTTCCGGTGTGAACACGGACCTAACGAAATACAAGCGTTCATATGTGATTCTACGATTATAGACACGCCTACATTTAAAAAAGACATTTTATCGAACGCAGAAGAAAGATCGCACCGATTCATCATCGCTCGATTCTGTGCGCAATACATTTGTTATTTCGCCGTAGGTTTGGACCGAGTTTAATATTGGTCGCTGTTGTTGTTGTTGTTGTTGCTGTTGTCTTCGTGGTTGTTGTCGTTGTTGTTGTTGTTTTTTTGTCGTTGTTGTTGTTCTTTCTTCTTGTTCCGGATACAATTGCCATTGACACTCTATCATTCTTACAGTTTAGATATAATGCAATATAACCAATGCCGTTGAATTTAACGTCAAACACACGCACACACATGCACGTATATAGTATGATATACTATATTATATATATATATATATATATTATATATATACATAATTATATAATATATAATATATAATATATATATATATAATATATATATATATTCAGTTATTCTAGTAGTTCAATAGCTATTGCCAGCTAATTGTGTATAGACACGTGTAACTATACAAGCGTCCTGATGTATGCTATCATCACGGTATTATCCGCGTGACGTGTACCTATAAATGTTAGCTCCGTCACTTACCTGTGTCTGCGGGACGATCGTGAATGCTTCGGTGATTGACTCGTCTCGGACGGATTACTATCAACGCGGGACGACGGCGAATCTGAAGCATGATTCAAATTAAAACTCAAAACGATTTACTACGTATCAGGGTGTAAAGAAGAAGTTCTATGATGTAGAGCGAATTGCACATGCAACCTTCGAGTCGGCCACTCCTTAATTGGAAATGTGCATGTTAATTAGATTGAGGTAGAAAAAAATGCGTCGTTATAGAACATGATATTATGTTATCTTGTGTTGTTATCAATAATATTGTGCTAAATGGGTAAATGTTATACAGTCAAATATGAGTAAGCCGCAAGCGTGTATAGTTCTTGTTCGTTTTCTAAACGTAACGTATCGTTATACGATGTGTTTTTGCCGCGATTGGTTATATATATATATATATATATATATATATATATAT